TTCCAGTCTTCGTTCATATTAAGCTATTCTTTGTTCAATCGTACTAATTTTCACTCTTGCTTTGATGAACACTTTGAGCTGAAATCAAAAACATTAAGCGTCAGTTTTCGAACGGTATCAACTCGTTTGAACCCCCCTTTTTTATTAGATAGTAACTTTATATGATTATATGAGAGGGGTTTAAGAGATAAGGAGAGATAAGCAATGATTTTCAAGATAAATAAGGGAGTACTTGCTACACCGTCTAGCGATAAAAAACTACTATAAATCATTTTGTAATAACTTCTTGACTTCAAATAACCCTTAGACGGAAATATCTTAAACGCGTTTAGTTGACATATATTCAAATTTTCAAATATTTGCTAAATAACTTTCAAAGATGGTTGCACAACAACACATGTCGATATCTTAAGACTTTTACTGATGGAGAATCTGAAATCAAGTTAATAGATCGAACATATTATATTAACTAATTCATTTATCATGCTTAGGTTAGTTTTAAACCAAATTCATAATGCACCTCAATCCTCATATAAGAAAAGGTAAAATTTTAAGATTAATGTAATTATAGCAGAATCATTGTCCTTGGGAATAGCGCGATATATTTTTTTCTTTGGTACAATCAGTTATGCTTCAAATCTACGCTACGTGTGAACAAAAGTTTTTGCAACCTCTTCCCCCAAGAAACTCATCAAGAATGAGTTCGGCTAACAAAAAGATAGCTTGACAGGCAAGGTAATATACGCCCACTGGCAGCTTTGATTTCAAATAAAAATATTTAGCAGTATAGTAACAATCACCAGTATGAAATACCCAACCTTCTGTCATACACTTCTTTTGAACTCTTTAGGGCGATACTGGATAATATTGAGTTTGAGTTATTGCCCTTGTTCTTGACAACGTGTTCAATTTTTAGCTCGGCAAAACCCTAAAAGGAAAATGTTCAGTGCAGGACTGAATAATATAACCAAGTTTCGTCAAAATCCTTCAAGAATTGTCCCTTCTAGAGTGTTGACAAGTTAAAAATTGAACGAGTTTTCAAGAACAAGGGCAATAACTTATACTAAATATTTTTCGATAATTCTGATTTTCAATAGGGTTCATCCTTGGGTGATTACGAACACTCATACCAAGTGTTGTCAAAATCCGTCAAGAAGAGTTGTGAAATGAGTTGCCGGCAATATGTGTATACTGTAATATATCTCGTTTGTACTGTAACTAAATCAAGGAAAATAACACTAAAATTACTGAATATCGTCAAATGGAACCCAGCGTGATCTCATTAATATACGAAAGTGTGCCAAGTTTCACAAACCTGTGGCTTTTATCGCATCTACAATGACAAGTTCATCAGTATATGCAGGAATACAAAGAAACAAAAATGTACTAAATTGTACTAATTGTAGCAATAATATTTGCAAATGCGAGGAAATAAAAAGAGCATGATCAGTCTATTCTAATTTTGACAAAACAAAAGGTTATTACAACAGTGCGATTCAAATGTGTACTGTATTTATTACTTCTGAAACGACCTCATATTAGTAGACTGCTCAAGTTAATATTTTGAATGATGTAACAAATATTGAACTATCGGACATTTATCATTTATTATCACTATCCATAAATAAAGTGTTCTGCTAATCCATTCTATAAGCCCTCAAAGATCTGAATAAATATCTTTGTTCATCTGTACATATCAATGATATCTGGAAGATCACTAGCGCATTATTCATTCACTGAAACTCCCAAGTCATAGAGATAAGCATATCAGTAATTTATCATCATAAATGATAGTCTTGCTTTGATTCCTTCTTTTTTTGTTTTTTTTTTGTGTGCAAATATTGTATTCAGAAAGTTCGAAAGACACACAAAATCTTCGAAATCACAGAGTAAGAAATTAAGATTACAGGTTAATGTTTCCATAATTACCGTAATAAATGATAGCCGTATTTTTTTTCTTTATTGCAAATATTATATTCCATAAGTTTGCAAGACACACCCGTTAAGTTTTTAAGCATTTCATTCAAAAATCGTGTTTTCTTTTCTAATCCAAAGAACACTTAACACCTAATAAATATTTTTTTTAATACTTTAATCTGTATATTTTCTTGATTACTCGAGAAAAAAAAATACGTCGAACTTTAGTTTCAATAACATTTTGTGTGTGTATGTTTTAAAGGGACTGGTAGGCCATTTTTGTTTTTGACCAATTGTACCTTAGTCTCAGAACCTGGACTTTTTTTTAGCTCAGCTAATCAGTAATAGTGTTCACAGTCGAAATTTGAGCCTTTAAATCCATATGTGTCCAGAAATATTTGCGTTTGAATGTTAAAATGACGACTTTGTGATATACATAGAAATAGTGAATAAAATTCCTAGTTTGAAGTATTTTATAGGAATTATGTAATTTTCGTACATTTCTAGTACTTCCGAAGATTATTTACATAATATTCAAGACTAAAATCAACCCCCTAAAATGGCGCACTTGGCTCTTAAAATCGGACCGGAATGGTCATAAAAATCTGGAAGACCACGAACGATTTACGCGAAACCCCAAAATCATAGAGTAAGGTAACCAGATTAAAATATCTATTTGACAAGCAAACAAAACTAAGAGAAATTTATGATAATAGTTTATTTAAAAATCATTTAGATGAGTAGAATATTTATTGACATAAGTGTGGAGTTATAATAACATTCAGTAATAATACCTTCAATTGATTTATATCATTCAATTTCAAACTTATAGCAATCATGTGGTCTTTACTACCAAAATATTTTCGATTATTAAATTAAATTTCATGAACCCCTCCGTGAGTTTCATGATAACCTTAAAATTTGTAATATACCCGGTACTTATATTAAAATGAATGTTAAAGTAATATTTATCTTAATGCATAAACAAGTTTTTCTGAAATAATTTTTATGTCATAATGAATTACGTGGTCTTGTAGATAATTTTTGTAAGATTTTTTTTATATTTTATATTGTATTACGTGGTCCTGTAGATAACCAGTATATCTCGACCCTTACTTCGTGCACAGTCTTTTAGATGTGACAGAACCAACAGTTCAAGGCAAATGGATTTTAAATTCACCCAGAACCTCCCTCTTTTGCCTCATTTTTAACATTGATTGCGCAACGGTTTTGACAGATCTTGCAATGATTTTTGACTTAGCTCTGGTTTATTAGTAAAAAAATACGTCAATATATTATGACTCAAAGACGTCATCGAGGCTACATTTGTTATTCGATGTTGACATACATGTGCATTGATGGTATCCTAGTTTGATATTTCAATGAAAGATATTTAAATTGCTAACCCCCGATTTAGTTAATGCGTATTCGATTTAGCGATATCACGCTTAAGATATTCGTCTCATAACAGAGGCTTAAAGGGAGATAACATTGGTTTTAGAAATATGATCATTATTATATTAAGCAAACTACGATTGTATCAATTTTACATGTATGCAGTTTTTATCGTACATGATTGATTTTTCGGAATTTTCTTTAAGCTTGAGAGGACCACTTCTCCGTTAAAGACAATATGAAGAGACCACAGAAAAATCATAGCAAACTGACTGATATTGAGCAGATTTGAAAGATTATATGTAAAGGGACATAACTCTTGAAGCATAAAATGATCATCAATTTAAAATGACTTTTCTGAGCTTGCATCAATGCCCAATGATATCTACATATTCTTTTGTAGGCCTACATAGAAACAAATTTCGACACGTTTTTTTTACTGGATCAAGGGAATTAACACAGAAAAACATGAGAAGAAAACTGTCAATTTCGAACTCAGTAGATACTAAGTTTTACTGAAGAGTTTAAGTGTAAGGCATTTGCCCGACTACTTTTTCCACAAATTTTAGAATTAATCCTTTACCATAATTGGCATAAGGCCTAACCAGAAATAGTAAAATAGATCACTCCTTATTAAAATAAATGCTTTATTCAAAAGAAAAAAAGCCAGTTCAACAAAGATTAGTAAGGAACAACATCTGAAATTAGCATATTTTGATCTACCCATAAGTGTTATCGCAAACAAGGCTGTAGTTAGACTAAAAAGGTGATAAGAAAATGGTATATAATGCCATGAGTGAAATTTGGGAATTCATATAGGAATATAACCTGACAAAAATGCAATGAAAATGGCTTACCTTTCTAATTACTCAAACATACATAGGAGGATAAATATTATATTTGGTAACAATTTATCAGCTATTTCCTTTCCTATGTTATTTGACGACTATTTGGTATTGTCATGTAAATGAAGTATCCATTTTATGAATGGGTCGCGTGTCATACGATATCTGCTCTATTTTGTTGTGGTTTTTACCTTACTACTTACGTACAGTATTTATAATTGGTAAAATTGGATGAGATGTCTTGTAATGAATTAAAATGGTCATAATATCAATTCATTCTAATGTGCATTTTGACGGTTTGCTCATATATCCAATACATGTATATCGTACATCATTTTCCACAGTTACGGCATTTATTGTATCATTTATCAATTGGGCTTTCCCTTCTACTTTTCTTTTCCTGAATTGGTTTCGAAAGAGAATCAACGCTATTCAGTGTGCATTGGTGGGTGGAATTTTGAATTTCCATTGGATCTATGATGAGTTGCAGTCTGTAACACATGATGCCTTAACTTAGACGCTTTGTCCAATTCAGCTTTTCGTACCAACATCATTAAAAAATACCAAAATATTATTCATGAAAGTGTTTCACACACGGACATATTTCTATTGCTTACATAATTTTCTAATATTTCTTATTCAATCACGAAAAATCTCCAGCATCTGAAATTGTCTCTTCAAACACACGGGATCTGTTTTCGAGTTAAAAATTCCGGGCACTTAATGCCTGGAACAATTTATTGTCATTACCTTCGCCCATTTCCACATCTTAGATATTCCTAAAATTACTTCCAGGAATATTAATCAGAGAACTACATTCAGCTACAAATCCAGAATACTTCCATGGCAGAAACAAGTAATTTAATGGCAAACTACATCACAGAAAGACATGAAGTTAATCCAGCATATCATCACAACGTAAAGGAAAATGAAACCGAGGAGTCACTAAGCCATTATATCTTATCTACTACCGGAAATGGAACCTTAACCGGTCGTATGAAGGACGAGGGCTTAAATTCGTGTGTACCAATAGAGAGCTGTGAGAGTAAGACAGGTGCATTGAGACAAGATATAAAGCGAAGGCCGGATATAAGGGTAATTGATTATGCGTCGTGTATGACAATATTAAAATATGATATAAAATTTTATGATAATTTTACACGATAAAATCTAGTTTTTAAGATATTAAATTTCTTTGAGTAAAATGATGTAAAGCACCCACCATGGGTATTTTCTTTTCTAACATCCGATATCCTAAGTTACAATACAGAAACTCAATCTAAAACTTCATAGCTTATATGTGTATTTCGAGGCAGCCATTACGAAGCAAGAAATGTCTCAAATACATTGCCAAATTAAACCGAAGTTGCCAAACAACAGACTGATGATCTTTCCGAAGACAAGATTATTCTTGAGTCCTTATGGCATTAAGGCCCTGAGTTTCGAGTTTCATTATAAGAAATGCCATGGCGGATGTCGCTAGTGAGGCAGGACATGCACCTGGTTCCGCTGCGACTGGATACATCTGTGCTTCCACATGTGTTTACATAGCTGATAATGATAATCATAATTTCCAATGTAGTTAAGAAAGCCTATTGAGATTACAGGTTCATTTCAACGGCCAAAAGTCTTTTTCATCCTTTTCAGATATCACAATACCACGATAGAGAGTCGAATTACTATCAGCACCACAATTTACAGGAAGATTGTCGCACTGAATCAGTTCATAACATACATTATCAAAATCGTGATAGCCAATGTCCCCAGTATAATTTGCCGAAACGTTTTACCGATGACGATGTATTCAAAATCGATGAGCAACAAGAAATTGAAGATTACAAAAACAACAATACGCCATATAAAGAACCCAAGGAATTCCAAACATATTCGGATTTAAGAGATGATAGCAAAATATCCCAGGGAACAGAAAAACTCATCGTTCCAAATGATAGTTTTTCAAACCAACAGCATAAACGGGTACCTGCCAAAGATCGTGTCAGTGGAGAAGGGCATCTATATGAAATACCCTTTCAAGACAGGATTTCAGTTGTGGATGATTCCAGTCGCAATCATGATGAGTTAAAAACCCGTAACGAAATACTTATTCGTAATAAAGCGTTCCCGACTATAATACAAGTTCATGGAGACGAGAGTGTATTTTCATCAAGTTGTTTTATTAATGATGGATATGCTTCTGCTGAGATGATTCAAAGCGTACACAATACAAAACCTAAGCATGCACAACGCACTTCTACCATAACAAACCAACAAGATCGATCAGATTTCGTTGAAGTTGAAAATTCTCAAGCAATCGGGCAAACCATCATGAGTTCCAGATCTGCTCATGACAAAGTTGATGCTTATAATGATGTACAAACAGCTTACGTCGACGAAGGGAAGGGGGTACATTTTGCATACAATCAAAGAGAATATAAGCAAACCGAGGTTGGTCATTTCAAAGCGGGGTTGCAAGAACGATTACCATTTAGTAAGTCACCCATTGGAACTGCGATTCGCAATGAATTACGCCAAGACGCCGAAATGCAAGTAAGGAATAATTCTGGATATTCTCTAAAGAAGAGCAACCTGGTTTACGATATGCAATACAGAAGAATATCCCCAAGTCCTTTAATACTGAGAACAAACTATGACAGAGGAGATGGACAAACTTCTGATTCCAAAACAGGTCAGTCAATTTATTCTCAGATGGTTTATCATTTGCATTTGACATTCAGGTCTTGTGCCATTGTGCTGTTCCTTGAGCGTTTAGTCAATAGTATTTGCTAAAAGGGAATTTCACATCAATCGTTGAGATCGTTGCGGACACACCAATCAAATGAACTTGGTGATACTGCAGCTCTAGATCGATTTTGTCAGGAAGTTTGAGAACTCGGCGAGCTTGACGAGTTATTTATGTCATATTTTTTTTCTATTTGTTTTGTAGAGAACCTTGGATTCGCTCTTCAGGACCCTCCCAGAAAGATTAAGCGACAATTATCGATCGAATTTGAAAGGAGAGGAACGTTTATTCCTTCTGAGGAAGATACTGTAAATTCACTTACACCAAGTCAGGAGCCTGGAACATCAAAACGACTGAAATCATCTACGTATCAAAATCTTCAACAAACGTCCAGTGTTCTTTCAGATTCGCATTACAAAAACGTTCCACAGACTGCGAATGTTCCCTCAAGTTCACGTTTCCTGAACCATGAAACATCTACTCTGTCCTCAAGTCCACATAACCAAAACCTCCAACAAACTTCGAATGTGCCCTCAAGTCCACATTACCAAAACCACCCAATTTCGACCGTGGCCTCAAGTCCATATTACTCGAACCATACAACTTCGACTTTGTCCTCAAGTCCTCATAACCAAAACCTTCAACAAAATTTAAATGTGCCACAAAGTCCACATATCCGAACATCGTCAGTAATCAAAACTCCATCACTAAAAAGTAAAGAAGAAAATATCTTCGTGTTTCCAGACACAGCAACCAGACCCAATTCTCATGAATACAGATTTCACGTCTCTCCGCACGATAGTAATGATCGATTGCAGAGAACAGAAAAAGAATATCTGTACAACCGAACGGCTTCTACAATGTCTTCAGAACCATACAGACCACCATCCGTGACCCCACAGAAAGGTTACAATTTGTTGGCAAGAAGCTCTGCTGATCAAGGATTCTACTTTGGCCAGAAAGTGTCCCCAGAAAAACGTGGCCCACTTCGAAGCCAAAGCAATATTGAGGATCAATCCCCATCTAAATTAAGCATTGCTGAATTGGATAAAATTCATCTTCTGCGTTCTATTTCTCTTCCTGTCAGCGAGCACGACCAACGATTTATCAACAGATCTATGGACAGACAGGAATCTGGTTACCATTTTAGTCACGATACTGCTGCTCGAAGACAATTATTTAGAGAAAACAATCATAGGGTAGGTACATTCATTCCCAAGAAATGTCGTAAGCTTGAAACACTTTCAGAACATTCATAGTATTGGATCGCCAAGTGTTAATTTCAAAACTTGGCCTCCATTTAGATTCATCGTTATTGTGTAATGTGTTGCATTAATAATATATTGCACTTTGTTTATGATCTTCTGTGCATACCTGGCATATAATTATGGAAATTTTGACGGACCCAGTTGGCACTTTTAGTCGATCCATTCCCTTGTATTCATGATCTTGATAGCTATTTGTTACTGTAGTTTAGGGTTTTCGTGGATGTAGTTCTCAAGCAATTTTTTAATTCTTCCAGTACACTACCGTTCGTGATTCATGGAACAACGATCACATGCAAACCGTTAATGAATTGGGTAATTATTTTTTTTATAATGATCTTGAGAAATGAAAAAATTGAAACACATATATAAGGGGGAGGGGGGGGGGGGGGGGGGGCTATAGCTCCTATTTCGTGGTAAAGAACACTACAAATAAGATTGGGATCGCCGTCTTATATGATTTGTTGATAAATGCATCCCTGCTTTGATTGACAAATGATACACATCAAACTTGACCAATTTCCATTGGTTAAATTTCATTTTTGACAATGTTGCCATTACTGAGGAATCAAGTAATTATTGGCCTCATAACTCGATTTATTTTTTGGGATATTGATGATACTTCAGTGCTATGGTTTTATCACTGGTCGGCTTTTGATTTATGAATTCGATTTGGATAATATGTGCGTGTAGGTCTTCTCTTAGTGATTTGTAAGGTCACTTTGTAGACAATCCATCATGAACTGAAATAGAAAACGAAATTTGAAAATAATGCGAATGTTTAACTTGAACCAAAAGAAACCTGTATTTTATTAGCAGGTGCTCCACTCCAAAGAAGAATGAGTAACATAAATGGACCTTCAGCAATATTTGATGGTCAATATTATGACCAGTTTGAAAGCATTCAGCATCCACATACACATACGTATAATTGTTGTAGTACCTTCTCCAGACGCCAGCCTCTAAACGGAGATATTAATGAAAGGTGTCAAGGTAACTTAATATTATGTTTATTGGATCCATTGTCCTGTTAGTGATGCAAGTTATTTGATTGGCATGGAAAAGCGTTTAGTCGTTTTGATTTGACAATAAACTAAGGCCCCGTGTAATACAGGTTGTATAATAAATGATGCCACGACAGTCAAATAGAAAACAAAGAAGACTTCTCTGTCTCTCATCAACAACTCGGCCCAATGATTTGATCTATTCAAGAAAATCTTTGTTAGGTGAATTGAAATGGGTGATTTACTATCTACTGTTCTCTTTCGAATGACCCCATCTAAACGCAAAGGTGTTGTCCATGTAGTCCATTTTGGAATGCTTCTAAATGTGTTTGTTTTTTTATTGTTACAGGTGATATAGATATGACTATACAATGTACTGGTATAGTCAGAGAGTGTCAAGACCTATCTCAACAGCTCAAATACCTTAACCATACACAGCACCATAATAGGCATTGTGAATGTAAACGAGTCGAAGATGACGTATTGCAGCTAGCCCTTGATGCCTACCGTAAAATCCCTAAGGAGTGTTATACACAGACTGAGCAAAGGCAACGAGACAAGGAACTCAATGAAACCAATTACATGGTACTAGAGGCAATAAAAGTGGCTCTGCGGATGAAACAATTGTGTAGTCATGGTCGTTCTGTGTCTCGTATTTATAACGGCAGTGTAGTTATAAGACTAAATTGTCCAACTTTGAACTCATTAGAAGATTTGTGGTTGAAATTTAAATCCGGTGAATTACAAACTCTTATAAACAATATTTTCATTACGCCCAGTATTTTACTAAAGAACAACGCCAAATTTATTAATCTAGGCGTTACAATATTAAAGGATGAATATCGTGTGTGCCAAGCCGAATTGGGTAAATATTGTTCTTCTAAATCTGTCACGTTTCACTAGTAGTCAAAATGCATGAATCCCAGTACTGCTTATAGTTTGGGAAATTTAGGTTGCAACATTTCGGTTAGGTAATGTTGCGTAAGCAATGACATAAGTGATTGGAAGTAACAAGTTACCGAAGGCACGGACTTACAGTAACTGGTACTTTACCACCCGAATCCTTGCTTTCCTTGGAAATAATCTATTTGTGGTCTATTTGAACATACACACACAGCTTGCACTATTCTTACTTTCTGTGATTCCTATAATTTTTCTTATAAAAGTTATTTAACCATTATTATGGTATTATGATGTCACTATTACAAATATTGTCTCCACATTGTTTCTTTTCTAGCTTCAAGTTTCTCGAATGCTACAGTAATTAGTCCATCGAAAAATGCATCTCCTTTTAAGGTAACATCACAGTTTCTACTTAACGCTTTTCACTATCTGGGAAAAGTCATCCTGTGTAAGCTTTCATGTGCACACGGTTGTGCAGACATATTGTCAACAATTACACTGATGATGGTATGGGTGTATACATAAACCAAGTACTAAAGATCCGAACCGTGAAAACGAAACCCAAAATTCAAACAACATACTTGCAAAACATTGGTGAGCAGCTAAAGTATATTTCTTTCCTGAAACTTCAAATTATTATGAAATCAGTTTAACGATCTGAATTTTCAGAGGTCTCCAGACAGAAGAGCAGCAAAGAGTGCCGAAGATTTGTTACGAATTCCAGACTCACCAAAAGCGAACATGACTAAAACCCGCTCAAGTTCAACACCAATACTTCTCTGTCATTCGCCATTAGACTCACCCATGGAAAACTGCTCACCTAACACATCTTCCAAACGAGAACGAAAATTTTCTTTTGGTGATCAATCAAGGCGCGCATTTCAAGACCTGTAAGTTACCTTTTTTTATTCGGGTATTCGATAAGCATGTTTTCAAATATATAACCATTTTCGTCGGTCTGGATTAAATGGTAGAGAAATAAGTTATTTCCCTTGAAATAAATAATATTGAATATTTCTTCTTTAATCATTCATGGACATTTGCAACAGACTGTATTTTCTGGAATTTTCACGTATATGGAAGACACTGATTACTTCTGTTTGCACCTTCCTGAAAATGACCATTACCTCAGTTTCGCACACCACTGTAAGAAACAGTGACGTCATAATCTGATCTAGTTCAATAAGAGGCCTACTAAGGGATTTTAACCAAAAAAAAAAAACCCAAAAAAAACAGGCATGACTAAGCCAATGCATTGAAGATTTTTGAAGGCTTTGAACTATTCTTGAGTTTCATAGGATAAAGTGACGTTACCTATGTAAACACAGAATAGATCTATGCTTCATTACTTGTTCCATCATACAATTTATTTTATTACAGAAATTCACCACGTTCACCTAACTTGTTTAATTTAGAAGAGATACGACAAATTGTTGAATCACCACTGTTTGATCAAGATGAAGACGACCAAGAGAACATCAGTGCCAGTTTTCAGTCAAGAGGTTCAAATAGTCGCCATGGTTCACCATATTCCCCACTAGTCTCTCCAAAATCACCACATTGTTCTCCTCTATCACCGAGATACAGTCCCAGATAATACACCATTCATACAAGTCTTTGACATCAAGATATGTTCATGAACCAAATGACTAAGCTTAAATTCGTTATTGACTACCTTAAAATATAGATAAAAATTGTTTATTTTTCATTTTATAGCTATATTCTTGTAGTCTTGATAAAACAGCCACTTGCTGCTTTTTAGACTTTACGTTAACATAATTACGTCCCCTTTCCTATCTCTTCTTATCCTTAGTTTCTGACTGACCTTCTTGTTTTCTCTTTCATACTTCTTGCATATATTCATAAATTTACGTGATTATCGCCACTACGTTGTAATATTTTTTTTACAACAATTTTTTTTATCCTATTTTACATCATGTATGTCGGTCGATCGGTTAAAAAAGGTTAATTTATGTGATTATCTCAAAAACACTGCCTTATTTTATTTGAATCGTATTTTACATCATGTATGTCGGTCGATGTATCTTTGTATGTCGGTTTGCCTGTATCTACAAACTTAATTTATGTGATACACTGCCTCAAATACACTGCCTAATTGTATATGAGCAATTTTTACCTTCCCAAACGGAATGTATTGTATCTTTTTTTACATCATGTATGTTGGTCGATGTATCTATGTGTTTTAATTGTTTGTTTGTATGTATCATCTCAAATACACTGCCATATTTCATCTAAACAATTTATTGCATATATTGGATCTTTTTGTACACCATGTATCAATGTGTGTATATTTGTTTGTATGTATCTAAAGCGAAATGCGATCATCTCAAATTCACTGACTGACATATTTGAGCAATTTTTTACTTTCCCGATTGATTGTATTGTATTTTATGTATGTCGGTCGATGTATCTATGTGTATCTTTGTACTACGAGTTGAATTATGTGATCATCTCAAATTTACTGCCTTTTTTGAAAAATTTTAATCCTTCCGAATGGCATGTATTGTGTCATAATTTAAATCATGTATATCTAGTTGTTTATATTTACTCTAATGTGTGTTGTGTTTTGTGTATTTTTGAATCCTTAGACCTGTGTTGTATTGTATTCTTACATTACTGATGTTTTGCAATGTGTGTATTTGTACATACTAAGTGTTGCATTGCAGGTTACATTTATGAATAATTGGTTTGTAGCATTAAATATTATACATAACTTTATGTGCTGCACATTTATTATTGTGTTGCATTGTATATATCTACCAATCATTGAGTGTTGCATTATATGTACATTGAGATACAGTATTTTGAATCTGTATTCACTATTATAGAACATCAACATACATGTATGTTGCATTGTTTGAATACAAAGTAATATGTGTTATATTGTATATCATAAGTGATGCGTAAAATCACTTGTATTTCTGCTAATTCTGAGCGACCAAATAAGTATTTCAAAGTTATCAATTCAATTACTGTGTTGAATAATTATGTTCGCCTGCCATCTTCAATCCACTGCCCTATATTATTTATTGATAAATTAATCAGATTTTTATTTATATTTTGTTAGATGTGTGAAATATTTATAAACAGATTTTTATTTCCTCAGCATTATCGATAAAAATGATTTATTAACAAGTTGTTATTCCATTTGATGGGTTGAGATTTTGAGATCATGTCCGAGATTTTTTCCGAGGTTTCTGCATAGATTTTTGATTTCATTTGTGTATATTCAATAAGAGAGAGCAAATTACTGACAGTTTCTGGATTACTTCAGTAATTTAAAAAACGAAACCCTGTTTCATATTCAGTCATGTCCATACTCCTGTGGTTGACTGAAGCAAGGAAACGTTTTATATTCGAATTGGATGAATATTTTCTTTTCGAATGCACCCAACTAAAGCAAGACTAGATACCATAAATTCGTCTACCTGACAAGCTTGCTATTTTCGCTGGATCCATTATAGTTGTAAAGCCTTCACGCATACTGACTTGTAACCATAGCATCATCTTTTGTGACTTAGTCTAAACATTAACCGTTTTAACTCTTAGGGTTTTTTGGCATCCTCGAATTCCTCACTGCTGAACAAACCCTTTATCTATGCCATGACTTTACTTTACAGCTAAATACCTCGTACACGTAGCACATATATGATCTTACAAAATAATAGAAATTATTCAGATTGATTGGGACGTTACGCTAACAATTAAAATTCTGTCTTTTCTTTTAGCAACTATCCAAATTTATGCATTGATGGTTTTTATCGGTTACATTTTTTATCCGTTACCCATTGTAAACGGGTCATCACAATAGAAAGTGGTATGATAAAGTTATCAAAGAAAGGAAATTTGTTTAAAACATTTGTGATGTTAATATGAGAACAGATTACGCTGTGAATAATCAGAGGCAGTTGATAGATTCTCTGATATCAGTTTATCTTAAAGTGATATCGTACACTGTTCCCATTATAATATCAATCTTGTCTCATTTACACAGGATATCATTATTTTACACATTAATTTACATCAACTGTTAGTTTGGTATTTAATTATGCCTGACATTATCCAAAATTGACATAAATTACTTGAGGGAAGAAAGAAAGAAGGAATAAATGTTCAATATAGCAATTTGTAGTCTATAAACATGGGAAAATGTAAGAACAAATATTCGTAAAATAACATATAGTGTTAATAATAAATCGACCGAAATCTCCAGCTTTCAACCAATGGCACAATTTCGATATTTATGATTTGTTTTAAGAAATTACATTATATGGAATTTATTGTTCAGGTGACTTTACAAGTCTTGGATAGGAGCGTTTATCACAAGTTCTATGATGACTTAAAACAGCTACCAGTTCGTCTTTGAAATGCACAATTTGCATATCTACCTTTACATTAACAAGACAACCAAAACAAAACAAAATTCAAAACATTTGTAAACTTTTAAGAAACAGGGCGAAGTGAAGCGTAAAAAAAATTATTAACCCTCAGTATTTACGCCAAAATATAAATATACATTATACAATGTAAATAATGAAAATTCAAACTGTATAATGATACATAATCAGAAATTAATGATACATCACAATGCAACATTTACATAACCAAACACATCAACACAGTGTGACTTTAATATTATAATTTCATTTGGTTAAGCGACATGCATTGTTGACTGTATAATTATGATGAATCATGCTGATGTTAGAAGTTGTAGAATATAGCCAGATGGGAGGGAGGGCTGTTCACCATCACGGCATCTGTCCATCTATAACTTACATACAGTTAATCAATACGTCAGGCTCTCATTTCCTTCCTTCTTTCACTAATATCCCTCTGTTTGAATAATCACTGGATAATTGCAATTGTTTCACTATTTGTATTTTCTAATGACCGTATAGTGGTCAGCAATGGTCAGTGTTTGGTTTCCTGCTGCTAATCTGAAAGTCTAGGGTTCGATCCTGACTTAGGTCTAAATGGTACTGTTGGGGTTTTCTACTCGGTTCCCTTCTGTCAGTGATGTAAGTCTGAGACATTGAAATAGAAAAGCGCTTAGTCGTTTGGAAGAGTAAATGAAACTTGGCATTGTATAATACTATATATTAACAATTCCTCATCAGTAAAAGAGCATGCCCATGCCGCTGTTGTGATCCTCTCTACATCCTGTCTGGTGTTGCTTGTCCTGTCGCTTGCTGGCGAAATAAGGTACAGAACCACAAGGTGTAAAACTTAATTTCACTACAGTTCATTCTCCCTGTGAATTTATCCGAATTATCTACTAAGTAAAACCGCAACATAATCGGACATCTACTTTAAATTAGATGAAAACCATGTCGGTTCCGTTGCATCCACATCAAATATTGGCAACGAAAATACTATATTCATAAGAGATATAATAAAATTAAGAAATTCTTCCAAAGAAGATTATTGAAATTAATTAAATTGCGAAGTTGATTGATTACATCTGCGTAAAACATCGTTTAAAAAAATTCAACTTGCCTCAAATATCAAGAATTAGAAAAAAGATGATAATTTTACCCTTTGTGATGAGTTGTGTGGCGAGTTATTCACAATTCAGTGCTTAGAGAAGCCTTAAAATTACATGCACCCACAACAAATACATTCGTAAGTTAGATATAATAACATTTCAAAAGTCGTCCAAAGAAGATTATTGAAATTCATTTCATTGCAAAATTGATAGATTAAATTTGCGTAAAACATCTTTTAAAAACTTCAACTTGCCTCAAATATTAATCTGTGTCAAGAACTGGAAAAAAAGATGATAAATTTTATTCTTTGTGTCGAGTTGAACAGCGAGTTAAAAGCATTTTTTACAATGATTAAAGCGCTAAACAAATTGCACAAATGACATAATTTTGACAAATGGCTATATAATAATACCCATGTACCTGGCTATGAAGTTTTAATGAAAAAAAGGTAATGCAAGATGGTGTATTATTACACCATTAGTTTAGTTATCTTGTGTATTTCTATTCATTTTCTAATACTTCATTTCTTTTAATATCATTTCTTGTGACATAGTATTATTATTTCTTCATTTATCAAACCTCATATTGCCATTAAAAATATTGATGTCGCCTTTGTGGTGATAACTATTAAAGAAATTGCAAGATGTAATGCTGAGGTTACTGGGCCCTTATAAGAGCTAGGGAACGCAACATGTAAATTTTGGAGAACCCAGAAAGACCGGGATCAAATACATGTACATCATTGCGAATATATTTCATGTGCATTGTATACCTTAAAATAAATATTTTGGTTTGACTACAATGCTGTTTTTCTGCAGAGGTGCCAAAAATTAGATTAGGCTTTAAATTGAGCAAGATGATCATGGCTAAATGTATAATAATATTTTTAGAACCCTATTTTCAAGCCAAAAGCAGTACTATCAGAACCATCAAAGAACACATAAGTATCTCATTTTGTTTACGGTTGGTGAAGGGGTACCTGGAGATGGTGTATTTGAGACCATGTGAGTGCGAAGGTTTCGATCCAAGGATCTAATCAAACTTTTTAACAAGTTCATGGTTTTCCTTTATCAATTTCAAATGTATATCTCGGTATTTATTACAATATAACTCTTCTCTGATATCTAAATCATAATCATTGGAATCAACGTCACTCTGTTTGTTTTTATTCTTATATCGTCTTTACAGGTAAGTTGGCACTTCCTGAAAATCCTTTAAGACTACTTAAACCGGATTATCCAGTATATAATGAAATCAGGAGGTGCGGATTAAAGTAAATACTGTTAACCTTAAAGCCGGTTTTTTTTTTTAAATTGTTTCTAAACAATTTTTGCATCACGTGCTTAAACAGTGTTCAGAACACATGATGATGATGATGGTGGTGATGGTGGTGGTGATAGTGATGGTGGTGATAGTGATGGTGGTGATAGTGGTGATGGTGATGATGATTTGAAGTGCAATTTGTAATTGATTGAAGTTTTTCATTTTCACTAATCGAGCTTACATTATACAATTTACATATATACAAATTATACAAATACAAAATGTTTTTGAGCGATCAATTCATGCCCTTCATGAACCGAAATGAAATGGAGTTTTACGTTCTACGTTCCTGAAGACAGGAATTGTAGTTTTGGATGAGGATGAGAATACAGTCTCATGAGAGCTCAAAGTAAAGATTTAATAAGAAACAATTTTAAAGTTAGGAAAATATGATATATTATTTCCTTGGGTGAAATTTCAAGAAAAATAAGAATAATTGCACTTGTACTGAAAACATAGTCTTAACATACGCTTTACACTTGCCTCAATTCAGGATTGGACCGTTAATTCAAAAAATACAACAAAAAAGGAGTGGAAATTATTATAACTTTCATATATTTGATTCGGCATCCAAAATGTTAAAAAAATTGTTTCTTTGTTAGGAAAATGATGGCCTTGGGTTTCACATGACAAATCGCTAATTTAAGCAAAATAATATTAACGAGTAATAAACGGACATTTATTTATAAATCTAAACCAAGCTATCAAAATATAACAAATTAAAATTGATGAAATCAAACAAGGTTGATCAGTGTTGATTGAATTGTCTACTATATGAATCATACTTAATTTTAACTCTCTAGTTTAACAAAGAAGAAACACTACTTTCGTCTTATCAAGGCAAATTTAATTGAATGACATCATCCGAATCGTCTGTCAAAAATGAGCAGCCGTCCGTTAGATCTATAAATAGAATTGGCGGTTAATGCCCATCTAGTTCTAGTTGAGTGAGCACCAATCAGAGAGCGTGTTATCAAGTGAAGAGTGTTGTAAAGGATAAAACTATTATCCATCACACTGTCGTTATCAGATTATTAAAGCACACGTCGTTTCAACATCATACTGAATGTAACAATTTAAACAGGAATATTCTTTTACTATCGATGACAATATGGAAGAGGGTAAGTTTTGATTTGTTACAAATATCTTAATAGGTAATTCTAATTACCACATAGTAGAAAAAGAACTTGACATCACAATTAATTAACCAATATTATCATCAGAATGATGCAAAATATGTTAATTCAGAAATACATTCCATTTTTAAACGAAGTGTGCAGTTTTTAAAATCCCATATAATATAGATTCGGAATGTAATTTTGTTGCCTTGCATCTTATAATATCTCTCGACAGTTGAATATGAAAAATGATTTCTTGTGCAAAATTAAAATAATTTTTGAATCACATTCTATGAATGTTTCTCAGTCAATTTAAGGTCCGAAATTTAGGGTGTTAAGCTTAAATTTGATTTCTTTTCGTTGAATGATAATGATATCGGTTCCATGCCATATCATTGAATAGGTTCAATTGTTTCCAAAAACTAGTGCAAATTTCGTCAGTTAAGCTGGTAGATGCAGCACCAATATCGGTGAAAATTGACACATTCTGTATTATGCAGTATTATATATCAAACCTTTGTGTTAGTGGTAGCATATGATTCAAGATTTATATGAAATTAAGTCAACGGTGTAATTATTTCGACTACATTGTGTTGATTATGACCTATCGTGTGAATCTATGACATTATCGGTGATTAACATCTTAATGTTTTAATAATGTTTTTCTGACATATTTATCACACTAATGGATAATCATCGCCATTTACCTCATAATGTGCTAAAAAAAGCCATTGTCGCCTAACAAGTCAATGACTGTCATCCTGACAGAGATGGTAATGACACTTCCGAATTTTCCTTCCAAATCTCTTTTCCCTTGTCTGTGATGAAGCTCGGAGGGTCTGGCAAGGGAAAGATGTCGTTTAGATCGGACAGAAAATCGAAGCTCGTGTGCTGCTGGTGTGATTCCATCGACTGTTAAAAATCGAAAATAAGAAGGATAACTCCACTGCCTGTCAAGATATCAGTCATGACACAATACATGACGTCGTCTGTTTTCATCAGCCTAACGTAAACCCTCAAGATGTAAAACCCAATTTTCATATCATAATTTAGGCCTTATGAAGTTTATGGAATTAATATCATCAGAAGGGTTAAGTTCTAAAATTACCAGTATTAAATAAGTCACTTAACGTTTTCCAAACAATCCAGAATTTTATATGATATAATTTACAAATTATAATGAACAAAGGCAATACCCTGTGGTGTTCATAAAATTATGGTGTTACAGCCACCATCATTAACTTAGGACATCTGGCAATTGAGGGAACACGTGACGAATTATACGTATTATGGCTACTGGTATAGACAAGAGTCCGAGAATCAGACTTCTTGGTGTTAAACGTTATACATGTTTGTATGGATGCCGTTTTTGTGATTTTTATACACCTCAAGGGCCGTTGACACCATCAATGCTACTCATAGTTTCAATTTCTCCATAATTTAATTTACAACAAAAATTGTAAAATGGCAGTTATGGTATGGTTGTTAATGGCTAAACAAAACCAACTGAACACTTGGTAACACTTGTTAGTTGAAAATCGGAAATTGTGGGCTAATGCTGCTACTTTTGATTATATATCACCAAGTGCATGGTGTTGCTCGTTGTGATTAGTCCATTCAGAAGCAGAAAAAAGGAAATTTCATACATGTATGCTATATCCTCGGACTCTTTAGAAGCTAAGCGATAAGGTTCATGTCAGAGTGTACGTTAAAATCATTTATTATTTAGATAGCTTATCTTTTATCGTATATACTGGTAATTGTTAAATGTCATTAGATTACAGTCTGTACAGAATCATCTTCCTATCTTCATGATGTAACAAATACTAACTGACGGTTTACTGAGGGTCGTCAGCATGTGTTCTTCTTACAATTTTACTGGTGCCTTGCTCCAGAGGATGTCCACAACTATACAGAGCATTTTCACCATAGATGCCACCTACGCATTTCCTTGTGTCCAAGACAAAAGGCATCTTGTAGAAGTATGCTCCATCTGTAGCATATTTGATCCATGTACGTTGGATGATGCTGACAGCTATACAGAACATCCCCCCCCCCCCCTTTATACCACTCTAGCCATGAGATTGTCATTTTGGAGAGTCCCATATAGTTTATGATGTCCATGTTTGATTTAAGTATCCATAAATATTCTGGAAACCCCCCTCCCCTCGTTCTGTTCACTTACTTACGCCTTGAGTCTAATATTGAAAAGTAAACCACATTTTCAAAAAGGCTTTCCCGACGAAGACTGTGTATCCGCAAAAAGTTGTGGAAGATGAGATCTAGTATATCATTCCATAAGTACTTCACACAATGCAGTGTCAGTCTTCATATAATTATACTTCTGGAAATTGGCTATTGTCTGGTTTTATAATCAAATTTGTGATAATAAGTTTGAACTTTATTGGTATGGTGGCACGTGTTATTGTTCCATATCACTGTATGCTGACACTCTGTACAGTCTGACCAGATATCGCATTGGGGACAAAATCAATAGCAAGAAGACGCTTGAAACCAGTGACTCATAAAATATTGTGATTTCAAAGAGTGGGCATCATGAAACATGATATGCTGAATAACATGAAATCCATCTCATGTTTACACATTAAGTGGGGAATCTTTATAAACAATGCCATCGATACTACGTTAATTTAGCAATAAACTTCTATCAAAATCTAAGATTTCTGCAACAAAGATGCTTTTATGTTGTTGAGTCTATTTCCTCGCACACTGTAGCAATTTATATCTCTTAAATCTGTATTTGGTTAAGATCAAGATTTCAAATAAAAAGACTTAAGTTTAAAATAATAAGACTTAATAGTGATTAGTTAGTAATATAATATATTTAACCCTCGTTGAGTAGGTCATCTGGTAAGTGATATTAACCCTTTAATTAGTCATTAATTAATCTTTATCTGTTTATTTATCTTTGACATAATGAAATAAAATGTAATGTTATATAATGCTTCATATGGGTCGATGTAGGCTGCAAATATAACCATTACGGTGTATTAAATGCGTATAATGATTGTTAAAGTGTTTTTTAAAAGCTTTTCACACATATTATGTTTTGAAACAATAATACACTTAGACCTAAATTAACTTTTAGTTAATGGTGTATGCAATGTATTTAGTATTATTTTACGTTCAAGCATGTGTTCTTAGGTCATTTGAGGTAAGCATCCCATGTAGATCTGAATATATAAGGTTAAAAAACTTATTCTTGAGTAATGTGGATGTGCTACACTACATCGGGTTTCAGCCAAATCTTTCAAATGATACATTCTCTATCTAAGACGTCTTTTTGTGTTTGATTAGGACATATCGGCATATCCTAACAAGAGAAAAATTACGCTTTTTCAGTCGATGGATTTGTTATTGTCTACTGCGATCTATGAGATCTATGAGATCGCAGATGGCTTTGTAGGTTACATAATATGTACATAAGGAAGTAAATAATAACAATTAGTTAATTTATGGTTATTAATCGATAGGTCATTAGTAAATATTGATTCGGATTCCCCTTGTCAGTGATGCAGATCGGAGTGACTGACATGAAAAAGCATCTTGTAGTTCAGATGAGACAATAAACAAAAGCCCCGCGTTCTACATGCTAGACAATTTAATATTGAAACATAGTAGGCTAATATCGCTTTCACAACAGTGCTCACAGAAAACAAATACATGTATGTGGGTTTTCAAATAATTTTTCGCAATGTTTTCAAACGTGAACTAGGAAATTCTAATGATGGAAAATAATAGATAGTAATTTAATTATCTCACTAGAAAAAAAACTCGACACGACATGTTGTAATTAACATGATAATGAGTCATACAACATACCTTCATCAGGTACAGGTATGCTCCATTGTAGTCTAATGTTTCAATACTTTAGCATGTATAGTGAGGTCTGTTCCTTTAAGTTCTGTCATTTTTTTTAATTTTAAATATTTTTGTATGACTTGACTGTGTACTGTTGTTCCAACTAACCATCAAAACAATACGTACAAAATAAGAGGTTGGCTTTCCAATCGTGTTTTGGACACAAAGTAACCCTTAGGTTTCAATGTACTCGAAGTACCAAGATAGCTCTACAATGGACAAGGGACAACAGAGGTATATTTGAACACCTATTTGAACAGATTTCACGTGGCTTCTTGAGTACCTCCTGGGAATTTGTCCCATTGACATACTTCCAGGCACATTTTTGTTATTCAACTGATGTCTGAATATGCCTTATGGAATTATAATATCAATTTTACCACGACATATGTCCAAAACTGAAGGTGGCATTACTACTATCAAAGGAATTTTAACAACCAAATCAAAATCGACAACTCAAAATAAATCAAAGCCATTGTAATTTAATAGTAAATTTATCAAATTTTATTTTTGACTTTAGCCCTATTCTTTTGAAACTGTCGAAGTACTCTTATTTGTTACTTCTAAGACCACTTAAGCGCGTGTCGAATTTTAGTTCTCTTATTTGAAGTATGGGCATCAATGTCTAGTTAGCTACATCTGTCATCCTTATCTTTCTTTAAGTTATCCCATTTGTTCTGTTATGTTACAAACTGCCTTCTTTAATAGAACTATTGTCTTCTCACTGTATTCTCTATTTCTTCAACAATCGACATGGAATTGGCAGTCCTTTATTCAAATAAGCGGGCAATCCTTTGTTCCTATGTACAGCGTCATGCAGAAAATCTTTCGAAGAAATTTAAGTCTGGAGCGTGAAGAATCGAGAGATTAAAAAGCGAAAAAGTGAGAATTTGGCTTGAAGGTTTCAAGAAACCTTCTAAAAATCAATAAATTTCTTTCAGTTTCGTTTGTCTCGCGAAAGAGAATTGAAAATGGGCATTTGGGCAGAACAGATGTGGTTCCATTCGACTTGTAATCGGAGTCTTTAATGCCGATTCTAAAACTGTATTATTATCATAATATGCCGCTTTACATCAAAGACTTGTGAATAGTGAAAAGTCTAACGGTGATGGTTGGAACATAATGAAGGGAAAATAATCTAAGGCCTTAAATATGATTTAATTGGTAGGGAGCTATAGATGTCGTGATACCGCTATTTATTCAGACCATTTGTTCAAGTTAAAATAGTGTTGAAAAGGCTATCGGAAACTATTAAGTGTTATTAATAATTATTGAAAAATCTGTTCACTGTAGTAGAAGGATTGTGATGAGTTTTGATTGTATTTAGAGTACATCCTAATAATTTCCTGCAACATGGAAACAGACTTTTTTGAGCCACTCGGAAACGATTATAATAATTTTGAAATATTTTTTCAAAGTGTATTTATTTGTTTATAACTGATGATTATGATGAGCCATTTTGCACATTTAATTATATTTGGTTGGTTACAATGGTCGGAAATGATAATAGCTATGTTTTCTGAAAGATTACTGAAAGATAACTGTAATTAATTTTGAAATTTAAATGCAACCGAATTATGTTTAATATTTTCGATACACTTGAAAGCTCAAGCAAGGCACGATTTCTTTGCGGTTCCGAAAAATAATGGTGATTCGGATTGGGCGAAATGAGTGCAGTATTTCAGGGATGAAACAGCATTTCACGATACCTTTTCGGTTAGTAAATTTGTTGACGGATATTAAAGGGATTTCGTGATTTCCAAGACTATGTAAATATTAAGAGGTGGCAAGCTTCTATTTTCTCTATTCCGATGTCGCCTTACATCCACGTATTGATATCACAAACCAAGTGATCTTGTTTTGTGGAATTATATAATTATGGAATAGAGAACGAGAGTGGTACAAATATAGATACTCATACATATTGCTATAATATCGTTTGAATCCATCTATAGATCGCACATAAAGATTTGTCTGTTATATGACATATTGACTACCGACATGCCACAATATTTATAATTTCCGGTACAGATAGTGACATGTACTTGTAGAATAAGTCTTGTATACATGTCTCCATAGACCTTATTGTCATTTCACATGACATCAAACCTCAAGTACCATTGTCTCTATTGATTTCAAACTCGATTTTTAAAACTTGTGAATTTAATTTGCTTAATTATATTGTCTTATTTCAATATTCCCGCCTGCCCATGGCCTCTTGCAGAAAGTTGACCGCTGAGGTCGGAAAAGTTCCTCATTAAAAGTCGGGATCTATTGTAACACTGACACATACAGCACGTGTCAAGTATAATTTCCTTTATTTCACCAGGATTATAAATATGTGTGTTTTATGTGTAAATTATATCCAGTCGAACGCCGTTCCCACTTCCTTAATTCATGGTTGGGACGACACCCGGGGGTGAGCAGACGGTCGTTAAATTTGTGATTGATCACACGCATCCTACGTAGCCCGCAGCAAAATAAATGCACAAGGAGAGTATGTAATTGAACATTTATTTTCTTCCCATAGTGTTCTTCTTGTTCTAGATCGGTTTAAGCTGAACGTTAAAATAATTATCATAACTACCCTTTACCCTAAGGTGGGGCTAGAGTCGCCTGGTGATAAAAAGCGTTGAATCTGTTGCAGTCGACATTGACCAAGTTGTTTGCTTAAAGTAGATTCCGATTTTCCAGGTCGACTATAAGATTCAAATTGTAATAAACTGTTGATTACAGCAACTGATGGGAACTGCGAACAGTCAGATTCTCTCTCTGATGCCAATAATTGCTACCATTGCTCGTTCCTTCAATTAATCGCCTAACCCACATTACCGTGTATGAAAGTAAGCGACATTATGGCATCCCGGACCAAAATGCTAAATTTCCTGAAAGTAACAATGTTAGACCAATAGAATCCATTATAATATGGAAAAGACTTTGTAAAAACAATGCAATCTGTAAATCAAATAAGTTAATGAAACTTTCGATTTTTTCTTACGATTAATATTTTTACCAAATGAAAATACATTAGTGTTCATCAGGTTTACAATACGTCAAGGTAATGGGGGATTATGTAGAAAAAAAATTAAGAAAACCTTTTACCACGACAGTCATATTGTAGAATTCTCATAGAATGTGAAATTAAAGCTGATGATAATAGTTATTACTTGTAGCTGTTTCACTGATTAAGTATCAATTCAATACAATAGGACGGTCAATCATCTCAGATCAAAAAATCTCAACAACAAAACAAGTTTTTGTCAGCCTATTTGTGTATTTTATTATACATAATGAAGTCTACTTCAAGATTTGTCATTAAAACTAACACTAACAAAAGAATGCCTCGGATAAATCTAAAGAAGAAGGGTTTTGATTAATATTCCTTTTGGGGAAAAAAATTACGACTTCTTTTGTTCGGCCTTCTTCTTAAACATCTGCGCGTGCAATGAAGATAGGATATTGTTTTGGGCACGTGTTGATATATGACATTAATCATGGCTTTTGTTGATTTGGAAGATAAATTGAGGATGCTTCAAATGACAATGCGTATTTTTAAAGTTCAATTTTGATTTATTCGAAGTTCATTGAAGAATTATCTATGAAAGTATGTCTGTCTGAATCTGGTAAATAACAAATCGAATTTTCCAGCATATTTTTTTTCTAAATGATTTGGAATATCAGCTCGTACTTGAAGTTTCACCTCGACTGCGTTGATAAAAAAAACTTTTGAGAATATTGTCGATCGAAATTCAGAAAATTGTCCTAAGTAAAAACAAATTTTTAAAATGCTTATGTGCTTTTATACGAAAATAACTAATTCCATATTGTTTAGAAGCTGATATTCCAATTCAACTTCGAATAGCCGACGAAGCTACGAAGACGGTTGTTTATTTTCCTATTACAGCTATCTGTAATATGTTTTGCTTACTTAGATCTTTCTTTCTATTAGATGATCTAACAAAACCATTTTCCAATTTTAATTGAGATTGTTAAATGCCGAATGCTCAATGACTCGCATCATCCTGAAAGTATTTCCTGCGTAGATTTAAATCTCGGTTTGAAAAAAATCAATCTCGTGTCGTTTAATTGTTTTTATGTGTAGCATGATTAATTTAGTTTCAAAATTAATTTTGATTTTTGATATAACTGAAATTAGAAACTGATACGGAATAGCAACATTTAAGAATTAGAACTCTTAAAAAACCTTTGTTACGACTAATTTAAGCTTATTGATTTTGATGAAGTCGAAAGCAAATTAAAGCTAGCATGTGTCTTCATCGATCAATGCTGTGTAAATGCTCTAGACTGGACCATGACCCTGTTTACCCTTAGCTTGACCACGTGTAAATAGAAAATTAAATCTTGACCTATATGTCCACTCGCCAGATGTAAGCGGTATTTCATAAGCAATATAATGCACAGATGCTGGCATACAGGGTTGCTCTATTGCACCGCGCCTTTTGTTTGCTTATAATAATGACCCCATGTCATGACCTAAAACTGAAAGACAAAGTTACTCGAGGACTATCATTGAAGTTAACAATACAATTGAACAGAAGGCGTCATTTGTCACAATTTGTAATTGGCATCTTTAAACTTAAATTTCAATATGACTTTCAAATTTAAGCAAATATTCTTGAATGTGTTATTTGTGAGTTGATAGCTATTGGTCTTGATTTGGGCGGGAAGTCTCCCGACCATTGTTGCAGAAGACAATTTCTTTTTCAAAAAATCATAAAATATACCTCACTTAACGTTGCGTTCTAATTTTAAATCATCAAATTAATAATCGTATTTTCAGAAATAAAATGGGAAGATTTACGTTGGAAGCAGCCAACTCTTTTTTGATTTGCTATTCCGGAGGGTCTTTGATGTAAACGACATGTAGCACCCCGGACCTCATTTTATTGTCCAATCCTTATAACGAACCTTTAATTCCATGTCAATTCCCCCGACCTCTGACTATGAAAACTGGATCGTACGATACGAGGTTAAATTGAGGAATAACCAAATAATAGTCAAATTGCCACTCATTATCATTACGATTTATTTTTTTCACTTCAGGAGAATGTTTACCACTATTAAAAGACGGCGATTTACACACATTAAATACAGATAGTCGTACGATTGGCTCATTGGTTCATGTTTTCTGTCATAACGTGACGGTCGCCATATTGAAATGTTTAGCGGAGCAGAAATGGAACGGTACAATATCACCGTGTCACACAGGTAATTGATTGTTAAATGGTTGAATGGTCGTGTAAAGAGTCAGGTGTGATGTCGGTGGTCGAGCTGATAAACTTGTGTGTTTAATCACAGGTGTTAATAACGATGATTTAACACTCTATTTAAATATTAAATACAGTATCGGTTTCAGATAGTCACATTTAATACATGTATAGTAATGCATCTTGATTCATCAGAGCCGTACGTACAGAGTCAGTCTCGCCCTTGGTCTTGATTTGGGAGGGATGTCTCCAGACCATTGCTGCAGTGAACGATTTCTTTTTTCAAAAAATCATAAAATATATAAGTCTCGCCCTTGATAATTGCATAATATTATATTCCTGTTTGAAATGATTAATGAGTGCTACGTCTTTATCCAATTTAACCATATATTGCATATATTGTATTATATTCCATAATATTGTCTTGTGTTTTTTACATATATTGCGTGGCAATGATTTAAATTTTTCGTGAAAAAATGTTATTTCGAAGGAATTTTTTAAAGTGTGTGTGCAGTATAATGATTAGGGAATGAGGACGAGCTGCCCTTTTGCTCATTCCCTCACCCAACATTTAAATATTTCTGATATGGTCAACAGAAACATAGGATACGTCCAAATATGAAGTCTACCTGAAGAGCCATTACTAAACGATACATGAATTTTATTTGCATGTATTTTTAAAGGGAATTTTTTAAATGATTCATTATTCATTTTTCAGCAGAGACAAAGAATGAAATAAAACCTGGGGAAGAAATGAAGGTTGAAACTATTATTATTATTGTCTGGGTATTAGGCGGTGTATTGTTATTCTCGTTATTGATATTATTAACAGTGATATTAACAGCTCGACACAAAGGCGGTGCAAGAAGACCTAGAAGAAGGTATGTTTTGTAACTATGTTTTTGAGTGAAGTTCACAAACGGTATTATTCCGAAAGATCATATTCAGATTGGAAACTTGATGTAAATGAATCTCCCATTTAGCCTGTTGTTATTCTTTTCTCATTTTCCTACTAGTTACATCAAAAATAATTTACTTCAATCTCAAGACTTACATCCATTCACAAGTAGTAAAAAATTATATCAAGTCCTCTTTTTATTTCAGACCATCCATATTCACCGTATCGAATGAAAGACGTCGAGGTGGTGGGGATAACCCTGCGTTTTCAACAGAAAATGAACAGGCCAATTGGTCTCTGCATAGAAATTCACAGCGATTACCACCAACCTATAGAGAGGCCATGATGGATAGACCACCACGACTAGAGCCATCTCGAACTCAAGCATCCGCTTCGTCTGGTCCTCCACAATCTGGTGCTTCTCAGGATGATAACAGTCGTCGTTATGCTCAGGAGTACCCTTCCTGCTTTTGGGATGAAGAGCCCCCACCACCTTATAGTTTATTTGCTGGGGGAAGAGGCTCAAGCGATCGCATTATTAGTGTGGAAAGGACAAATAGTAATAGAATGGCAGTTGTGCAAAGTCCGCGTCCTCCTAGAAATCCAAGCAGAAGTGCTCAAGAACCTACATCATCAACTCCATCCTCCAACCATAGGACCATTGTTCAATGTAACGCTCAAACAAATCAACAAATAATTCCATCCACATTATCCAATGAATCTCGAAGATCAACGAATTCTTCAAATCCACAACATAGAAGTACAGCTAGAGCTCAAATACACCATCCAGCCAATAGTTCATCAGAAACACGTCGAAATCCCAGAAGACCAGATCCAACACATCAAAGAGAACGTCCAGTTCCTAGTCCGCAATTAACCAGGAGTTCTACCAGCAACGAAGCACAAAGAGAACCAAATACTCTGTATAGATGCGGTAGATTAGAAGGCACTGCACCATTGGCTCGGTACGTTTTCTCTACTCGACTCTGAACAAAGCATGGTGGGTTTACACTTGAATCGTACTTGGTGGCGGATTTTACTTAACTTGATAATGGGTGTTTGCTAATTGGACAATGATTGCCATATCGATTCAAAATACTTTGGCGTTGCATATATCCACCCAAACTTCAATGAGGTGGTGATATCTTCTCAAAATTCAATATTTTTTAATTTTTTAGAATTATTGTGGCTATGTTGTTGTTTTCTTTGGCACACCGGAATCACTCAACACATCTTGTTAGAGAATCCTTAACTTTTCTTATTTTTTCATGAGTTCGAAGTTTCCCCTTCTGAAATGGCCCAATAACAATGAAATATTTTAAGACAATTTTGTTCATTGATATTTTTCTTTCTTACAGGTTAGAAATTGAGTATTTTTGATGTGATATAAGGGGAATAACTCCAGCCACAAGTCAACAATGCAAAGAACTTACACAATGATCTTTACAAGTAATGGTGCTATTTCATTTTACCAGTATTATTTTATCATTTTTATATTACTTCATATTCCTTTTTGTATACTCATTTTTAACTTATTCAATTTTTTATAATGAACATTATTTAAATTATGCATCCAGTCATATTTAATGTAGAATTTTATACTCAAGTTTATACTTTATTTATTCCATATACAATTTTATATTCTTCTGTATAATTATAATACCAAAAGACTATCACATATAGCTCAACTTTTACTAGAAGCTGAATGAAATTCCTTGAAAAGCTTCTATTTTTTTCAAATCATTTTTCTTATCGTAAGTTTATTAACCACGAGATATAGTCTAGCATAGGTTTTACTGAACATCAAGGGACGATTTTAAACCTAATCACGAACGGTCGGCTTGATTTCTGAAAAAAAAATAAATGGGAAGGAACACATTATAAGATTGACTGACTTTTTTTTAATTATCATTTATTTTACTTAGAATATACTCTTGTCTATGTTTAAATCGTCCATTTGTGCATAACTATAGCGCCTATATGTCCGTCTATAGTTACGATTACTAACATTGCATATAGCCTACAACTTTTATTTTATTTATTTGGTGTTCATCATTACCTACTACCAGTATTGTTGTGTGTTCAATCAAAGGTTTTCTAGCAATGGAATGAGTATCCTGGATACTTAGCGTTTTAATTCGTCCTAACCAGATTCCATTCAGATGTCTGAGGTTCCTGAAATTCCATAATCGATCAGATGTTCACGTCACTGGCGCTAAGGTTATTTGGTCGAGTTCTGTAATGGAACCATAGACGACAGCTTTGTAGTCAGGTGGGCTGTAAGAGAAGCTATAAGTGTCCGGTGATACATATTCAATGGCTATAAAATCTGTCAAATATAAACTTGCCTTTCCTCATATATACGTGTGCCTTATATTCTTGTCCTGTTCTGTTTGTAAATATGTAATCATATATTCTACACAATCTTGTGTTATTGTTCTTACTTTTCCTCCAATGTATAAAATCTTGAAGTAACAAGATATTAGAATGCTTCTTTGTTTTCCTACCCTTTCTCTTCTATAAATATATATATTATATTATATTGTGTGCCAAATGTTTCAAATCAAAATCTATATTGAATTAAATCTATAATGCCGAAAATCTAAAACCTTCAGAGGTACATATATATATTATATTCTATGCCAAATAATCAAAATCTATATTAAGTTGTGAGAAAGTATAAATGTAGAATAATTTGTGCCAAATATCAAAACCTTTATAATAATTCTATAGTCGGATAATCTATAAACTAGAGTTATAAATTTATATTCTGTGCCAAATATAACAAATTAAAATCTATAATGTTTTGGAAAATGTAAAAATCTACAGAGTTATTCTGTGCTAAAATCAAAATCTATATATTGTTGTAAATCTATAATTTGAAGGATATAAAAGTTTTAAGTATTACAAATCTATTATATACCGTGTTAAATAACTCAAATTCCAAAATATATATAAAGTTAATAAATTAATCATATTATGAGCAATATATATCAAATAAAAATTTATAAATTTGAATGTAAATCTATTATTTGAAATATCTGTAATCCTGAGATGCAAATCTGTTGTATTTTGTGCCAAAACAGATTTATAACAGTTCCCGCATATTTTAAAATTCTGAATTCTTGCGTGTAGATATTTTTAATTGAATTTTAACTTATGTTCATGTTATTTTCATAATATTTGTGTTGTGTATTTTTATGTGCCAAACGTTCCATTGTGTCAAATAATATATGCATATGTCTTATATTTCTCAAAGCATTTCTAACGGTGTCTCTGTTCAAGCAATATAATTAAAATTAGTAAGAATTTCTATATGAACACAATGTTATCCATAAAATTGTGTTCATATATTCATACCTCAATTACTAAATGTCACAGGAAAGTAGTACCTATTTCGTATCTTTTTAGTTTTCTGATATTGCCAGTCCCCATGGTACAATGTAGACTTCAAATATCAGAAATAAAAAAGATATGAAATTAAATTGCAGTATAAGATGCAGGTCTAAAAAAAAAAATCCATTTTGACTAAGAAAAACACATTCGAGAAACCAGACACTCAAAGACACAACTCAGCATGTTTCGGAATATAAGAATGAGATTACTTTTCTGTTTTATGAATGTATATATTATATTATTATTTCGTCTTTTCCTTTTCTGATAAAGGGTCATTTTAAGCTAGTCTTCCAAAGAAATGTATATTTTATTGTCATAATATTTCAGTATTATTTGTGTATTTATGTCGTATTGTGATATTGCAATGTGTTTCGTTAAAGCTCAGATAAAGCGGATAAAGTTGTCTAAATATTTGTTTGCTTAACCAGCTGATGACGTCGTTGGTGATGCATATGAGAATGTTGATAAAGGCCTTCTGCAATACGTTACGGATAGCTGAAATTAAGCTTTATCAGCTTGTGTAGTAAATATCTAGATGATTACATCCATTTCATAGTCGCTTAATTTTCGAATTCGTTTCCCCGGAAATATACAGCAACATTGTGGTAGGGTGTCTCCCTGTTGAACCAGTAACACAATTCTATGGCAAGTTTTTCTCCTTTGCGGTACAATTCAAATTTGAATTTGATTTAAACGCGATCTCAATCAATATACTCTTTTTGTTTTAAATATAATATTTGAGATTATGTGAATTTTCTGTGTATGTTAATTACCGTGTGTGTTTTATTCTAAATTATTACATTTAAACAAATGTATACTATTCCCAAAGTGTCAAATTATGTGTATTTTACGTAAATGTAATTTTAATGTTATTTATTTTGTATGATATATATATGGCATCATCATAAAAGAGCAACAAAATCAAATGTCTTCCATAAAGATCTGTACATAGATTGTATTATAAAATTTTGCTATTAAATTTTTTTTCTATAAAGAATCAAGTGTCTTATACATGTATTAAGAATTTTTCTTTTGCCATGCATATCATGTATCGGTGTAGCTTTCAGAAAAATTTCCTTTTTTCCCACTCGACGTAACGTTCCAGTAATTCCAGAATGAATTAGCAGGTTATGACGTCACCATCAGAAAACCAATGTATCTCCAGTATACAAAATGCAATTTGAATCCAAGATATTTGAGGTCCTCTACATCTGCGCGACGAAGTTCATGTAAACGCAAGGAAAAGATGTGTTTTCTAACAAATGATTTATCACAGATATGCTTATAAAAGACAAGAAAATTCATTTTTTGGCACATACTGGAAACAATATGAATGTCTTCAAATCGCAATTGTTAAATTTCTGATCTAATTTTGAGTTTTGAATGCGTCTTAAAAATCATCACAATTGCCCATTGATGGCAGACTTTTAATCCATCAATTTACTCAAGGCCTCTTTCTTCTGGTTAAGTATGGTCTCATATTTGGTGACTTCGTCCGTATTGTTCTTTTCTGAAAAGTACTTTACAGCATATTCACATCGAGTTATGTTTACCATAGTCCCAAACAATTGGCGAGCTATGTTTGTGTCGTCTCCAAGTTGCACAGTTGAAATGTGATCTCGATTAGAGTTCACTGTAACCATATGAAGAACTTTACATGGTTTCCCACAGATAAGGGGTCCTTCATAGAGATCCAAAACTTGAAAGAAAGCTCCACGTAAAAGAACCTCGTACTCTCTTGGAAACATTGACAGATCCTTGATTGTGACTGCACAGATGGTACTAACTACACTAATTGGAAATCGGTCACGATAATACTCCAGATATTCGGGTTTCATCTCGATCACATCTATTTCCATAAGCAAGGGTTGAGAGTTCTGTGAATCTGTGTCACGGATGAAGTTCTTTGCTACATTTAAGTCGGCTGTGGTCGACCACAGACTTAATGGTACTGAAATGAAACGTTTTTCTATGGACTGATTCAAAAGATCCGTAAATGCTTGGATATCTTGTGGTTGAAGTGACATACCTCTGTACACAGTACCTTGGTAGTTGTCATGTTGAGGACGACAGTAACAGTAATTGAATAAATCAATATTAATCAATTCAATCAAAAATACCACATTTCTTATTTTGTCCACCAAATCTGTGGACTCGTCTGCTCTAAATGTTCTGTTAACCAACGAAAAGAGTTTGTTGTAACCTTCTTCAGCTGTATATAGTCCGATTGCGTGGAATTTGTCATCTGGTTGAGACCATTCGTAATTAGTATTGAGAACTGTTTCTAACATCTTCTGCACTTTTGGATTGTCAAATTCCACATTATTTTCCTTTAGAAAAATCTTCAAGTTTTCCTCAAGTTCACCGTATTTATCCCAATTCTCACGGATATAATTGATGGAATCCCGTACTAGATTCATTCTCTCCGTTACAAGATCTCCTGAATAATATGGTCTCAGATCATTTAATGTTTTACTAGTCTTGATTTCGTCCAATGTTTGATCAACGTATCTTGAGGATCTATCTTCTTCGTTTATGCGATTATCTCCATTTGCAACGTGATCACCGTCCGATCTATATTCTTCATTTGCCTCAGTGAAGGGTTTATCTCCATTTCTAACGTCATCACCATCTGATCTATCTTCTTCATTTGCTTCAGTAATGCGATTATCTCCATTTGTAACGTGATCACCATGCGATCTATATTTTTCATTTGCTTCAGTGATGCGATTATCTCCATTTGTCATTTGATCACCATCCGTTCTATCTTCTTCGTTTGCATCAATGATGCGATTATTTCCATTTGCAACGTGGTCATCATCCGATCTATATTCTTCATTTGCTTCAGTGATACTGATAGGATTATCTCCATTTCTAAAGTCATTACCATCCGATCTATCATCTTCTTCATTGATAGGATTATCTCCATTTCTAACGTCATCACCATCCGATCTATCTTCTTCATTTGCTGCATTGATGGGATTATCTCTATTTCTAACGTCATTACCATCCGATCTATCTTCTTCATTTGCTTCAGTGAAGGGATGATCTCCATTTCTAACGTCTTCACCATCTGATCTATCTTCTTCATTTGCTTCATTGATGGGATTATCTCTATTTCTAACGTCATTACCATCCGATCTATATTTTTCATCAGCGTTGGACTTTCTGCTAGATTTTTTCATTTTAGACACATAATTCATATACATTTTGTCTAACTTGTATAATCGGCATATATATTTTCTGTAGTTGGATAAGGAACTATAAAAGTGGAAAAACCAACATTTTTTTGTAAACAAAGGAAACAGATTTGAAAGAGGATTCATCCGGGACAGAATTGGTCTTCTAGGACATGATTGGATGTCCATAACTAGACACACCAATCACTGTTCAGTTTTCGTAACCAATTATGGTTTGTAGAATTCGAATTAGTGTAGGTCGAACGAATCTATGCTACACATACATATGTATGTTATGTTGACATAATAAGATGCATAACAGTAGGCTAATTTGAAAAGGCTCAACAGACCATAAAATGTTATCATATA